GAAGTCCACCTTTTCAGAAAGTACAGTGCTGCATAGCAGGAATGCCTCTTTGAACATCGATAATATTACAATATATTTGGATTTTTGTGAATCAGTCAGCAGGAAACACCTCCTGAGAAAAAATCAGTGTCCGGGTGAATTGAAGCTCTATAGACAGAAATATAAAGAAGGGAAACACAAATCACAGAGCAGCACAAAACGGTGCTGGATCTGGCTAGCTGACAGAGAAGCATTGCCCCCTAATGCCCCGAATGATGGCTGATTAAACGCGCTAATTAACTCGTTCTAATGAACCGCCGAAATGTGTGCAATCCCTCTGATGGCACGCTCCACTCTCCACGGCTGGCTTTGGGTACACAGAGGAATTTTGTATGTGCTCCAGCTCCTTGATGTCAACACAATGCTATTCAGCAAAAAAAAAAAAAAATCTCTGAATCTCCTGTGAGGAATCAGTGGTGCAGAGCTGGCTCTCTGCAGCCCGCAGGTCATGTGAAGAGCTGCTGCTTTTGGCTCTGCCCGCTCTCTGGCAGCTTCCCCTGGTATTCCAATCATGTCGGACATTCTCAAATAGCCGTCAGAGTTAGGCCATGTATGGGATGTTGCAGCATGACCGTGATTATCCCAGCGAGTCGGGCTTGTTTTTGGGTTTGTGGTGCAACTTCCCAAGTCAAAGCACCCTCTGGGATAAAACAGAGGATTTCTACTTAGATCTCAAGTCCAGTATTCCTAAATGCAGATTAATCATGCAAATTAGGGCAAGTTTTACAGGATAAGCTCTTTTCATGGCAAAAAAGTGCGAAGTGAAAGGTTGAAGACCCACAAAGACAGGTAAAAATTATAATATTCTCCCAACTTGTTTTGAAAATGATGTATTCACACGGACCGTCCAGGGTGTCCCCCACCTCTCGCCCACTGACCACTGGGATAGGCTCCAGTTCCCCCCGCAACCCCATTAGGGAATAAGGGGTTACGAAAATGGATGGATGGATGGATGTATTCACAAGTATGTATTCGCAACAATTTTAGTAAATATAAACAGAGGGGGAAACAATGATTTTCAAGAACCTCTCAAAAGACTTTTAAGCCCCCGTTCCCTTTTTATTTTTTGTAAAGATGTAAAATGTCATAATCACTCAACCCCATTCCAATTTGTCGTGTATGGAGTGTGTCTAAGAAAACATTCTTATTCCAAAAAGAACAAAAACAGAAGATCTAGGAGTTGATCTCACAACAGTTTCCAGGCCTTTACTGTAAGGGTAACGCATCTCAGTCAGATAAAGTGATGTCCTGGACATAAGAACATTCTCTGGGACATCTCTGGTCTGAGCCAGCTCATTCTTAAACATGTGCCACTTTCAGAAGGCCCGACCAACCACACTGTTTCTGGGTTCTGCTCTCTACCACGGCATGGTGTGAGAGGAACTGGGCAGGTTTTGTGTGTGTAAACATGTGAAGTCACGTTCTTGCTCCAATGAGCTTAACAAAGTAAACCACCGGCATATAAACAATGCTTAAGTAAAAGAAAATCTTCCCCAGAAAGTGCCAAAAAGTATTATTCTTCACCAGTACACAAAAACAAAATTGTGGTTATCAAAGCATTTTCAAGCGTAAAAGGGGCCATAACCGAGGTTGGTGCTGTGGCTTTGAGTCATCCCTGCACACTGAAATTTTGAAAACAAATTCCATCCAGCAACCTTCAAATCATGTCGGCGCCGTACGACAGACCGTGCAAACCCTCACATTAGCACACACAGCAGGAATAACTAAAAAATAGCTGAACAAAAAAAGATCAAACCCATCGCTCTGTGCCTGTACGGTGTTAAAATAACCTGCTCACGAGTGGGATTCAATACTTTCCTTCAATCCAATGTGGCAGCACTGGAACGGAGAGCAAGCGCCCTCTCACTGCACCGATTGACCCCATGGTCAATGGTCAACTTGGACATGCCTAAACTCACCCTCTGACAGGAATACAATATTCGGATGATTTTGGCATAGGTCACAGGGGGCAGATGCGGTACAGACTAATTCAGCTGTATTCTCACAGTTACACGCAAGCCTTCAGATCACATTCCAATAGCTTTTTTTTTCATCCCCATGGCAGACTGCACGAGAGGGAGCTCAGAACAAAAAGATGGCTCATAGAAAAGCTTAGAAATCTTTTTTTCTATCATTTAAAAAACAAAAGGGACGGCTAATTTATTGATGGGACATGTCTTAAGCACAATAGAGTCAGACCTCTGCCATCACCTCACCTGTGTCAGGCACTGCCACTAAATAAGACTTTATCCCATGTAGGGCTCCCAAATCTCTCCAGCTCTCGCCCCTTCCTGACTCCTCCACCCTCCATCTGCGTCTGCTCGAGTGGAAGTCCTTTTAACGCCGGGGTGGAGCCGGGGGCTCCTCCCGCTCGCGATTGTGACCTGGGGATGGAAGGGAAGAGAGCAGCCTGAAAAAATAAAGATAAAGCACGCACAAACAAGGGCCATTCTCTCCTTCTGCGATATCGCCCCCGTGGACACTCGGGGGTTTGGCGTGCGGTACTTCATTCTTTCAGAAGGGCTGCGTGCTTGGTGGGATTTTTGACTGACATTAAAGTTTAAAACTGCAAAGTCAGCTGTCAAAAAAAAAAAAAAAAAAAGAAGCCGTGTCTGGCGCTCGCAATCAATCATTAGGCCCCAACGCAGCTCAGCAGGCCCGGCTATCTCCAAAATGTAAACAACCCCACGGCCCACAACACCCCCATCTGAATACTTGTCTCGGAGGAGACACGAGGTTAAATGGAGGGTGTCTACTTCCTGCTGATAAGTGGCGGCCACACACAATTTTTTCGAAGAAGGGGAGGAAATTATTTTGACAAAAAAGAGCGCACGAGCGAGTTGATAACCCTCAATTACATCTGTGTGCCTTCAGGGTTTTGTCACCAGCATCTGCTGGAGATGCCACTAAAGGGGGGGGGGGGTTCCCCTTTATAACACAGAGGCCAGTGTGTCCCCCTCACCCGGGGGAAGACCCTCAGCCAAGTTTCCCCCCAGAAGGTAATGACATCATGCGCCTGTTGGACAATTGGCGCTCTGTTAGGAAACTGAGAGGAGGTGCAAAGAATCAGCTGCTGAGAAGGGCTCCTCCATTTGTGCTTTTTCCACATCACAAAGACTCAAAGTGCTGTGTCCTTTTTCTCCGTCTTGTTTGTTTAGCGTGCGCTTCATTCTTTTCAGAATTCTGACTTTCACCCCCAGAGCAGGCGTGAGAAGCGTCACGGTCAATGACCGGACCGCGGTCACGAGGTTCTGCTGGAGGCCAAACGGCAACACGGCCCTCACGCGTCAGGCCAAACCGCATAAAGATTACTCACTTCCTGCCGGGCTCAGACAATAACATCACATGAAGCATTTTTCACAATAAGGGTTGTAAAGATTGCTCCAGCTGTTGAAATAGGCGGACATGTTGGCAAACACTCTGCTGCCCTGAGCACCGTTTGTCCTTTATGCTGCTTTTTCAATCGTCCCCAACAAATATAGATGCGGCAGTACTCATCCAAACATCATTTGTTGCTCTACAAACCCTGTTCTCTGACATCTCATAGGGCCTTCCGTCCATTTTATATGCAAACGTCCAATTTGGGGTCTTGGGAGGGCTGAAGCCTGTCCCAGGCAGGGTACTCGGGGACTTTTTGGAATCAGATGCATGTCACGTTTAACAAAAAAAAAATCAGCCATATTTCTCAAGAGAAATCTCAGCAAGTTGCTTGATGTCAGACAATCATTAAAACTACTTTGAGATGCTAAATCAGCACAGCTTCTCATGGCAGTCCTTTAGATTTGAAACCAGAGGAAGCCATAAATTCTAACTGGCGGTGTACTGTACTATCCGCTACACTTATTCTTAAATGGGAACTTCCTAAAGCTCTTTAGCAAAAGTGTAAATGTCAAACACTTGAACCGACTTATAGGACAACGGCAATTTGGGAGGAATGCGAGTGTAAATAATTCCAAACATGGATATAAGTGACTGTACTCTGGCCCAGTGCATTTGCTTGATGAACAAGGACTTTAGATTTGGAATAAATTCACGTCATTGGATAAGAATCAATTAAAAGCTGAGCTTAAAAATACATTTAAAGGAGCTCTCCTGTCACAAAGTTGACTTGAGTTCCGCCCAATCAGATGTCTTCACCATAAAAACTCAACTTTGTTGTTGTCTTAAATTTTTTTGGTGCTTTTTGGGTTCTTTTTTGTGCGCTGTGCACTTCAAGCTCACTTCAAGCTCACACCAGAATACCCAGAAGACTGATCTAGATGAATATTAATATTTTCGTAGCATGGACCGTAGGGTAAATTTTTTAAATGGCCAAGAAAACAGTTGTCGAGACAAATTTCTTTTTTTTAATAGGGAAAAAAAGAAAAACAAAAGCCAGGCTTCTTGAAATGGTTCCCAAGCGGCTGGACGTTGACCCAGAGGCCCGTTAGGAGACACTGCATTCATTATCTCAAATGTGCAGTTGGTACAAATTGTGCTCCTTAACATTTCCATGGAGGCAGTCGGCTCAGCAGAAAGTCACCTCGACGCGGCGCCGAGTCAGTGAGTGGAACGCAGAAATCAGAACGCTACGAAGCTTTTCTCCAACGGTAGATCTTCCTTTTGTTTTGTTTTTTGGAACTCGCGCGCAACTTTCCAGAACAACTAGCGCGTATAAGGAAAGGAACTAAGAAAAAAAAAAATCATCAATACCACATGAAAATAAATGCTTCTCAATTATTACCACTGTTAACAATATTTAGCTTATTTATCTTTTAACGTCATCTGTGGTTTAGGGATGACAGTCCGTTAATTCTAAAACAAAAATAAACACAACCCGTCCTTTTTTTTTTTAACTGCTCGACTTGACCGCGAGTCTAAAACACAAACGCTGAAAGTTGTAAAAATCGATAGAAAAAGCCGCTTCCTAAATGAAGTCTGTTAAATGACTCGGTTGCCGCGACGACGGGGGGGGGGCCTTATTACGTCTTTAGCTTCTTCTCAAAAGGGGAGCAGCTCAGCTCTTTCTCGTCCGAGCCCACGTGAGTCCGTTTCAGGGCGCTCTGCGCCGGGCCCTTGTCCCTCTGGGCCCTGGCCTCTTCAGTCTCTACCTCGGACTCTGAGGACGCCCGCTGGGTCTCGCAGCCCCCCCCTGCGCCCGCCGGCCGGTGCTTGCCGTTCACTCCGGGGCTGCTCTGGCTCAGGGCGCTGCCGTCTGCGGCCGCCAGGCTGCTGCCCGCCTCCCTGCTGTCCGAGCTGTCCGAGGCCGGCTCCCTCCCCTGGGTCCGGCCCGCGTCCGCCGACGGCGGAGACGAGGCCGGGCGCCTGTCCGGCTCAGTCCGGCCGCTCCCTCCCTCGTCCTCCTCGCTCTCGGGGGACATGACCGGGCTCAGGCACACGAAGTCGGACGGGCTCAGGCGCTTTTCCTCGCCGCCCGCCCGCGGCTTGATTCTCAGGGAGTTCGGCTCCTCGCCCGTCGAGGAGGACGACAGGTCGTCCACGGAGATGGACGGGTAGCTGCAGGAGTCCACGGCCGAGAACAGGGCCTGGACCGACTCGGGCCGATCGCCGGCCCTGGAGACCACCTGCATGCGCCGCCGCCTCATGGCGTTGCGCCTCCTGACCGCGCTGCAGCGCTCCTCGTCCTCGCTGCTGGAGCTGGAGGTGGACGTGGACGAGCTGGAGGCTCCGGCGGGGAGGGAGGGGGAGGAGGCGGGGCTGGACAGGGTGGAATTCTCCCGGGGGCTCGGGGAGCGCGGGCGGGGCATGGGGTCCAGCCAGAACTCGCTGGAGTCCGAGTCCTCGTTGGCCAGGAAGCCCGACTGCTGGCGCTGGGGCCTGCTCCGCCTCCGGGGGCGCTCCTCGCCCTCCTCCCCCTCCTCCCCGCCCTGCTCCTCCCCCCCTGAGCCGTCGGGTCCGGCCAGGGAGGAGGAGGAGGAGTGCTCGGAGTCGCTGTGGTGGTGGTCGGCGGCGTCGGCGGCGGAGGCGATGGCGGGGGCGGCGGCGGCCGTGGCCCGCGTGGAGCGCCGCCCCCGGGCGTGCAGCTGCATGATGGCCTCCTCGCTCAGGTCGCTGTCGGAGTCGGAGCTCCAGCCCTCGATCTCCCGCCGCACCAGGGAGTCGAAGAAGGCCATCATGCGCGGGTCCTCCTGGATGGACTGGCTGACGTAGTCGTGGGCCAGGCCGCTGCCGCTGTTGAGCACCAGGCTGATGTACTCCTCGTGCGTGTACAGGCTGCGGGACCGGTCCTCCACGCGGCCCTCCAGGTCCCCCAGACTGTCCGGCTGCTGGTACGGACTCCACACCTGGAGCAGGGGGGAGGAGAAGAAGATACACTCAAAATGAGACACAAAAATAAAAATAAACTGATGGAGAAAGAGAGAAGTGGAGTAGAGTTTAAAACTTTCCCCCTAACTGGTGAAATGTAGAAAACAGAGACCTTTCATTAGAATACTGGGAAAAAAAGTGATTTTGACCTCGGACCGCAGGTTTTAACGAGAATGATTATTTGCCTGCTTGAGTGATATTATAAATTACTATTTTATACGTGTCAAACTGAGGTGTTTTTGGCATTTTTCATACATAAAACAAGAGGAAGGGGAGCAAACCTCTTTCCAAAAGGGGAGCCAGTGTCCTCGATACATATTTATATGGATCCAAATTGGGTTGTTTGCCAAATCATAAAATGGAGACAACAGCGATTTGTGCCAACAGATTGGATCCATGACTTAATACACAGGTCAATGCTGGGCGGCCTGAAACAAAAACACACTCCTCTGAAACCCAGTGGGCTGAAAATAATTAGAAAGCAGCCGATGTGAAACACTTACGATACGTCTGAGTTTGGCTCTGGTTTTGGAAATACAGTATCTGTGGAACTCCTGTGTTCCATAAACACTGCTCAACATCATCCGTTTCGGGGAACAGAGTCTGATGGAGAAATCCATTCTTTGTTTCATTGCCCAAAGCACAAAAGCGAGCTGGGTGAGTTGGAACTCAGTCAGTTACTCGCTGGTGTCATTGGGGATCGATGTCTCACTTAGGACACGTCACAGTCCGCTTAAAGAACCATTTCTCTGCCCAGCACTTCAACCTCATCATCCTGAACCATTGTTGGAAATAAAACTATTTTAAAAACTGCAAGCGAAGATCAGAAAATCTGAGCTGTAACCATCTGGGATCCGAGCAGAACAGCTCCTCCAATGGAAGACTTGAGCACGTTTGTGTTTCATCACGTCCCAAATGTGGTTTAGCTGAAACTAGCAAGGCTTTCCCTAAAACCCCTAAACACCTTTCAGAGTTGATGGTTCCCTCCTATAGGCGGGAAAAGCCCCCTCATTTATTTGGCACTAATAATATGCACTGCTCTTTAGCTCAGAGGACACAGTGTGGCTCATTTCCACTTTTAAGCTTTAATAATCTCATCGCAGACTAGTTTTATTTGTCTCAGTGAGATTTAAATGGTATTGAAGAACCTACTCTGTAAGTCGCTTTGGATAAAAGCGTCTGCCAAATGCATAAACATAAACATAAACAAAAAGATGGGGACTTTTCTGTGTCTCGCTCATATGCAGCTTCTTTTCGTATGATTAAGCTTAAACTTTGGCTTTCTCCTGGTGAACTCGCCTGACTCCGCAAACTTATTTCCGCGTCACAATCGCATCCAATACACGTCTGCCTGAGGCAGGGTCAGGAGATCATCTAATATTCATACTCTGCTCCTTTTTTCGCTGATATTATGTACTATAGATGATGAAAATTCAAGGTCCCCACAATTTTACACTCTTTCTTAGGTTTTCTTTAATACACAATCATGAAACTGACCTGTTACCAATTACATAATTAGACATCACACACTCCTTCAACTGTTTGTGGCTCCAGTCAAACTGCTTTAAGATATAATAAAATGTGTCACTGTTACAAGAAATAAAATTGTTTATGGAATGTGCAAATCTCTACATTCTGTTTTTAATTTCAATTCTAATTTGGATTTACATAGCATCCCAACTTTTTGGGGGGGATTTTGAGGTGCACTTGCTTACAAAAAAAAAAAGCCATTAGTTTCCCCTCATTAAATAAAACTAAATTTGTTTGTTTTTTTCTGTTTTACTGACCTTGATGACTTTCTCCACTCCGGAGGAGCAGATCATGTAGGTGTGAGGGTTGAAGCGGACCTGATTCACGATGGAACGGTGACCCTTCAGGACCATAAAGGCTCCGTTTACCACGCGGCCGGGGCCTCCTTGGGAAGGGGAAAGCAATGGAAACAGACACAACAGATGAGCTCAGTGTCACAATATTGGGCCACAACAAGGACTTGTCAGGGCCAAACAGATTCAGCTGCACAATCTTTCACCCCGAGACGGATAAGCCAGACTGAAAAGCGGCAGCGGGAGTCCTCATCGTGTGCCATTTGTCTGACCCCAGATAGGCAGTTTGCGCATATTTTCAGAATGAGTAAGAGCAGGGAAAAAAAATGAACGCCCCACAAACGGGTCAGGTGGTGCCGCAGAGCTACAAACACCACGCTCTGGCCCCGTTGCATTTTAGGGGATTTTGTTTTCACAGTAATTACGTTTGAGGCATGTTAACAGTAAAAAATAAGCGGAGTAGTCATTTTTTTTAAGTCTCCAGCGTTCACTTTTTTCTTTCGGGCAGGCAGGAGGAAACATGCACGCCTAAGTTGGAGCCTCTTAGTAGAATAAAGACTGCAAGACTTCTATTAGAACTGAGTGAGAAGGTTGGCAAAACAGCACGGAGAGCTCTATAATGTTTTTTTTTCAGCTCGAAATTAAGTGACAAAACAGGTCTGTTTTGACTAAAGACACCAAAGAAACCAACACAGACAGTGGAATCAGAGCTAATTTTCCTGTTCCCCTGCAGACTACACAAAAGGCAACCCATCAATGGAGTAATAGGAATACAATCACTTTAGTTTCGTCATGCAGAAAGACAAAAGTCATAAAAAACGCGCACGCTTTAGAGATCAAACAGACCCCGGTACTCACCTGCTTCAGGGTCCTTTGGGATTTTCCACATGTAGAGGTTGAAGTCATCCGATCCCGACAAGATGTACTGGGGAGAAAAACAAACGGGTGCTTTGATTTCTTCATTTCATATGCGATAACCTTCTCTGTCATCACAAAGGGGAGGAGGGCAGAGATGTATGTAGGCCGGTGCGTGACCCCTGAGGGGTTTCGGCCCCATGGCGCTAACCCACCAGGTCCCGTTCGGCGGCCGTGCGATCAAACGCAGCCTTTATGCGACATGACAGTCTGACCTCACGGAGGTCCTGCTCCCTGAACGGGCTGCTGTTAGACTTCATCAGCAGATGGCTTCACTTACACCAAGCCCTTAAAGTGAGTTTCGACAGAGTCAGGATGGGGGATGCTCTCGTTCTCTCCATTCCTCCCGCTCCTAGGTCCAAAAGATGACTTCTCTGATCCTGGGTTACAACACTTACTTCTAATCAAAGCCGAAAGCCCAGCTGTACTCTGAGACTGCCCTCAAGCTTTGGATCGTTTTGTGCCATTTTTGGCTGGGTAATGGACGCCTTGCTGCTTGTTTTACACATATTACACAAACTTTTTTCAGTTTTCCTGTATTCTTAATAGACAGAAGAGGACCTCCATGAGAAAGCAGTGGCCTCAGACTGTTATTCAGCGGGGCAGCCGAGCGCTCTCTGACCTGAACACCTGCGTGCTGTGCCTCAGCCTCCCAGAGGACGCATCAAGAAGGAATGTTGCACCCAAACCCCCCACCTCACCACCACCCGCCTTCCTTCCAGACGATTTTATCCTGCAAGCTGTCCTTTTGCACCTCTGTCCTCGCACCACGCTGCGAAAATCCTCCACCGTCTGTGGCGTCGGTGTGGAGGAGATAACCAAGAGGAGGGGTGGGGTTCCAGCAAACGGAGGTCCGGCCTAAATCGTGTTCTTTGTCGCTTGTCAGCGCCAAACTGCGCCGTTTCGGCCAAACCCGTGTGCGGAAATATTTGACGGGAACGGTTGAGATTTGACTTCTTGACGTGTGAAATACTCCAGCCGCACTTGCAGCACAAAGCTGACCTGTTGGCACTGACCGGGAGTGAGTGAATGAGGCCAACTGCAGCTCCCTGAGCAAAACAAACTACATCACCGTCAGATTCTGACAGCCTGATCAGTTTAGCAAGACTCAATGAAAACATTACGGTTCATATCAAAGCTTCTTTTAAATACAAAAAAACTCATCTACGTAGGGTCAGGACTAAAAGGCATCTGAAGGCCCCTTAACCAAAGCGTGGCCGGGTTTATGGGAACAAATGAGGGAATGAGTAATAATTTACAGTCCGCCTCATGGGCTCCAGTCGGATCTACTCTCCACACAGCTGGCATGCCAGTTCATGTCTGCGAGCCGACGGTGTGCCGATTCAGTCGTTTCTACCCGTGTGATTGGGCGACACAGTGAAACTGTGGCTTCCGTGCCCTCTGAACGTCCCCTTACTAACGGGACCAATCAACACCAGTCAGAGAGATAATACAGCCATTTAGGTTTTCTTTTCCTCACACACATTTCATGAAATTCCCATATAACTCAGCTCCGGGTCCTTATCTAACCTGGCAGCCGCTGAGCAGACTCCAACCGGCTTCGCTGCTTAACATTCTTGGCATCTTCCTGGAACGTTTAACCCAACTCCTTCACTCCAGTGGGGGATGATCTTTTTTTCTTTTTTTTTTTAAATGAAGCCTTTCCGAGTTCGACAGACACCCATGGATAATGTAACATAAAAAACATGACTGCAGGCTGATGTAATGTCTGAGGAGGACCGGTGGCTGAGTACAGGGGGGGCTTCTGGTGTTCCTCGAGCACTGTTATGTCCCGTTTCCAAAGAGAGAACAAATGGATCCCTCAATTTGAGTTCCCTTTGTTGATCAGCAAGTTCTGGAAATTTCCCTCCATTATGAGGTAACTGTAAAGCCTTTAACAGCCATCTTTTCACTTCTCTACGCTTCAAACCTGATTGCTAGAACAGGAGCTTTAGCTTGTCTCATAACCCCACAAAATGGAAAACTTTACGCATTCCACCCAAAAATGTCCTCAGCGTGCAGGGACATATTTGGGGGGTGATGATAACAGTGTTTCCATTAGCCGTAATAGTTTAGGTCTCCCACCTGATCCTTGTCCCCGGCGAAGCAGCAGCTTTTCATGGTGCAGGAGTTGAAGTAGCCCTGGTTGTCGAACTGGAAGCTGGGCAGGCGGGAGTGCAGCTCGTACAGGACCGGGGGCAGGCGGCGGCGCAGGGCCAGCAGCTGCGTGCCGGTGCTGTTGAAGCGAACGCTCATGGCGCTCTGCAGGGACATGCTGCCTCCATAACGGAGCAGAGAGCTGAGAGGATGGGGGGAGAGGAAGCGGACTGTGACATTGTGTCGTCTGTGGGTGTCTTTGGAACAATCAGTGGTACACGCAGGTGGACCGAGGTCACTGCCCTGATGCCGTTTAAGTGGCTTTATCAGTGATTCCGCTATACTGAAACCAGGATTTGATCAGAGCTTTTCTTTTGGGATGATTTTAGGGAGAATTATATTTCTATAAGTCTTCCTTTTTTACTCAGTCCATCCAAAAAAAACAGTCTAGGTTTAGTCAGACTGACACTACATTTCAGAAATGTCCAGCTTCCTGTAAATTCTTCTCATACAGCTGTGAAAGCTGAGGTTTCAAAGTTTGACTTCGACAAAAAGCATCATTTGTTATGTGAAATGTTCTGAAACTGGTACAAAACTGTGCAATTTCCAGGTATCACCGTCCAGATTTACCACGAAAGTTACCACAAACTGGTGATGCAAGTCAGAAGCCTAGAGACAAATGCAACTAAATTATTCTGACGGACTAAATATTTCATGAAATAACTCATCGAGTCATTTCTGGGGCCGAACAGAGGGCAGGGGATACGGCTCAATTTTATTGGCAATTTTGTGTTCAAATAGCCTGAATGTGAGTGTCTAAAAAGTATTTTCTTCTCTATGTAGAAAGGTGTAACCGCAATAGGACGATTCAAAAGTAAAGGAAACAGCAGCACCTGGTGGCTAAACTACAACAGCAAGAAGAATCTGATGGACTCATGGCTTAAGTCACGGAATATAAAATACTCACACAGCACCCACCCCCACCCAAAAAAACAAAAAAACATGACACAGAACAGCTGGCTATCAATCTTAAAAAAGACAATACATCTACGTGTTCTAATCTTCCATCATAAGACAAAAACAGAGGAAAGAAAAAAGTCTGACCTCCGTGGCTTGCGGATGTCCCAAAGTCCGACTCCCTCCTTGGAGTTGGCCGTGGCAAGCAGCCTGGGCTCCACCGGGTTAAACATCACACTGTGGAAGGCCGAGGGGTAGCTGGCCAGGCAGAACGGCTCTGGAAGGAGGACAGCAACAACACTGAAACTCACTGAACACATTTCCCTCAGATTCAACACAGACAGACACGTTTTACCCAGTTAAAGGCCGAATGAGTACAGAATACTCGGATAAATTCAAAATGCAGTTTGTAAAGAGGCGAATGAGATTAGAAACAAATGTAATGACCCAATATTTATTTCTGATCAGGTTATTATTGTGCACTCTTCGTATTTTGCTGCGAACAGAGGCGTCCTTAATGTATCGTATCGCTAGTAGTGTATTGAGATGTGTATGGAATGGGCCTCATGGTGGAGATTCACATCCCTATAAATAGGACCATAAAGCTTCGCTGTGGGCTTCTGATCCCTGCAGACCAGTCAACTGACCTTCTCACAGAGGTAGATCAGTGAAGGGTGAACCGACGCATCAAGTTTGGGCCAAAATATTTCCAATTTTATATAATATATTTATCAATGCTTGGCCGATTGGTTAATAGCATGTTTGTCACAAAGTGATGTGGCAAACTAAGAATGTTATGGTGTCCCTGAGACGTCAGCGCACTACCCGGGAAACACAAAAAGAATGCTGGGAGGAAGACTGCCAGCATTCTTTTGCTGCTTAACGTATTATTAGGCCAACTTGGTCACAGGGAGGGTTTCTAAAATAGAAGTCTGCGGTCGCCATGGAAGACGATCTACTGCATTTTTAATGCAGATTCTCATCTCACCTGCAACCCACCACAGTGTCTTATAATACATTCGCTGGCCACTTGTGGGAAGATTCTTCACCAGGTACGCGACCTGTGCAGGTGAGACCACCACGAGGATCATCTTCATGCTAATTAAGTGCATTTTGTGCAGTGATTTGGGCTGGTTTCACTGGTATTAGCGCCGCCGTTGGAACCGTTTTAGTTTTAAACACTTCCTCCTTTTTCACCAACTCCGCAATAATCCGATCGGACGCCAGCAGTGGGCGCTCGCAGGAAGCCTTTTTCGTAATCGTTATTTTCCTGTAAGAGCTATCGGGCGCAGTGCGTCCATAAACACCACGAACATCATCTTTATAAAAAAGGACAGTTTGAATTTCAACTCGCGGTAAAATACTGACAAAATACCCCCCAAAACAATCTCCCTGTCTTTCTTTTTCCACATTTTATTCTAATGCATCTGCAGAGGCTTAATTGGCAGTCTGATCTGGACCTTCTCACCTCCATGCGGCTGTTCGCGAATGTCCCAGATGAGAACGCGGCCGTCGTCAGAAGAGCTGGCGAACACGTTGTCGTTGACAGGGCTGACGGACAGGCTGTACACAGCGTCGATGTGCAGGAACACGTTCAGAGTTTCCCTCCTGCAAAAGCAACGGTTGTTCTCGCATTAAGCAGAGCGCCCAGAGGAGGACAAATGCATTAGCGAGACGTTTAATCGCTGGCTCAGCAAACAGGCTCAGTAGTGGCATTTTCTTTTGTTTTTACCCACCTCTCCACATCATGAAGAATCACCTGTTCGTCATTTCCTGTGGAAAAGAACACACACACACTCAAAATAGATCACAAGCCAAAAGAAGGGTTTTTCCATCTTTTCCATCCATGAAATATGCAAATGTTTTAGACTCTGCATAAGATGTTAAAATAGCTTATTTCCATGCACGTGGATGATTTAGCACTTAATATAACCTTCATCCAGTAATTCACCAACCGCAGCTACTTATCTTTAGATATATGTGGGACCTTGTTAAGAATTTAACTTTTTGGGACGTAAATCCCTTTCTATAAGCTGGTTTCTTACAGCTGACTCACAATCATTAATTGTGCATTTGTCATCTTAAAGACATATCCCTTTAAGTTTCATGTCTTTCTTTGCCAACTTGTTTGTTTCCCCATTAATCAAACTTCCCATTTTGTTTGCGCGTTCTGCCAACTTGAAAACAAAGCAAACTGAAAGACGACAAGATCTGACTCCGACCTATTTGAAAGAGTTTTATAATCCTGTCTAACGACTGTTCCTCTTATCGGCACCATGTTCCCTGTCAGTCAGCCAGCTGCAACAGCTGCTTAAGCTGCGTAACCCCCTTTTTTTAAACTGCTCCCATTTGCACAGACTACAGCAGCTTTTTTAAACAAGCTAATTATGAGGTGGTTTCATATTATTTCTTTAACTTCATCTAAAAGAAAAAGGGGGAAAATATGAATAAACTCAAACTCGATATCAGTTTTTGAGGTGTTTGCTAATCCTAAAGTTTTTCATGAGCTAGATCAGGTTGTTTCCCAACCCAGATGTAACGTTTGCTGACCTTTGTGTATTTAGCTGGTCAGATGAGGGGGAAAAAAGCTCCAAATGAACATGTTATCAGTTAAGGATCTTATTCCTTCCAACACAGCCCCATTTATAGTCAGGCAGCAACCATATTGCCTTACCTTCACATTTATGACTGACTTTCTCAAAAAGGAACTCCATTTGTATCCTTACAGGAGCTAATGCAATACCAGTTAAAAATCTATAACTCAATGTTCTGTGATTCTAGAACAAAAAATGCTGTTGGTGATAAGATTGGTTAATAAATTCAATGTAGTTTTCTCTTAAAAGAGTACAATAAGGTTGGGTGATTTTATTTATACAAATTATGTCATATAAAAAATGTCTATGGCACCCCTTTACTGTGCAATTTTCATTCAATTGAAAAAATAAAACAGAACAAAATGTGAATATCTGAAGTGTTTAGTAATGCTCTCCATAGACCTATCCAGGGTGTAACCCGCCTTTCAGCCAATTACATCTGGGGTAGGTTCCAGAATAAGCAGTACAGGCAATAGATGGTTTGGAAAAATGTTCACAAACGTAAAAGATTAAAAAAAGAAAGCACTGCCAAGTGGATCAAACTCGGTATGCTTTCTGCAACATGTTCCAGGGTAACAAGACCCATTAAAAAGCATGGATTCTCTTACCCCCAGAAAAGACTCTTTTGTTGGTACTATCAAAAGCAAGGCAGAAGATATTGGAGAGGTGCTCTCCCTTCAGTTTCACTGGCTTGGACTGACTATGGATGGCTTTCTCCATGTGCCACAGAAGCACACGGCGGTCATCTCCTCCTGCAGTAGGGGGGAAAAAAAGAAAAGCTCTGTTACCAGCTGATTTTTTTTTGGGTTGAAAAACCACCACTCCTCTTCCTGAAGTGACTTCACACTCTAGGGAGAGGTTTTTCTTCCCTGGAATAAATCTTATCTGCACACAGTGCTGTTCCCTCTTTGGTTACTGTGCAGAATAGCTAAATATCTCACAGGTGACAGACGATGCGTGAAAAAATGAAGAACAGAAGTAAAACACCAAAGGTTTGGACTTTAAGCCAAGCCTGGACCAGGATCCCATTTTAACAACAGGACAATGTGAACGTTTCTGTAAAGTTGGGAAGGGTCAACCTCATTCCTCAAGGTGGCAGAGTGAAAACAATGACACTTTAACGAGATGCACTTTTGCCAAATGGAGTCCGTCTGATGTGAAGGCATGCCACTAAACTGCAGCTCAAATGTGTAAACATGGCCATGAGAGCCAAAATGGCAAGCCACAGGCTGTCACACAGGGCCATATGAGGGTTTGTAATCCTCACAGGGCATGAATGGCGTTGCGATTTAAGGAGGCCGAGGTGGCCACGGTCGTCACAGTGGGGAAAATGTACGCGTCAGTGACGATACTTGTCATTTTTTAAACTGACATAATGAAGTGTCCCGCATCGCTGCCCCTACGGGCTGCTGGCTGTTTTGGCTTCACGCTCGCTAGCTAGCGAAACGGGCTATGCTAGGCTAGGCTAGCGGCAGCTAGCTCAGCGGCGTTCCAGCTGACAGCCTGGCGAGCTAGCGCTAGCATGCTAGCCCGTTAACAACTGTGCGAAGCTAAAGGGGAGGAGGGCTTGTCAACTTACCAGACACGAGCCAGTCTCCGCCGTTGTTGGAGAACTCAATGGCGTTGACGCAGCCGAAATGGCCGAGCATGTCTTTCTTGTAGAGGCTCGTGCACCCCGACAGCCTGCGCCTCTGGAATTCCTCCTTCAGGAGCGACTGGCCGGTCAGCTCTCTGCGGGACAGAAAGCCCACCGAGGAGCGCATACCGCAGCCCTTCAGCTCCTTCATCTTCCCCAGGCAGAAAACCAAAAAAAAAAAAAAAAAACACGCCCCCCTCTTTTTCCTTTTTTTTAAAGGGTCGGAGCCCCGGACACCCGCGCGCAGGGGTGGACGTGCCTCACGGTTGTCGCAGCCCTGTTTGGGTGAACATCGCGGTGGACACTAGCTGTCGGTCTGCTTCCTAGCTCCTGTGCCTGCCCCTCAGCGGTCCCAGCAGCAGCTTCCTGCTCCGGCGGAGGATCTCTGTTCTCCCCCCCGACAGGAGAAGAACACCCTCAGAGAAATAACATCAAACTCCGAACGCTCATAGGATGTTTAAAAACGACCTCAAAAGTACCGGGCATTCATCTCAACCTCTCCTTTTAAGCGTTATACACTTTTGTTCTTCACCCTGGGCATCTTTGGTATTTAAAACGTGAACATGGCATTTTGAGTTCAATTGAACTTAATATAAACTTTTGTTAAATTATTATTGTCTTGGGGGGAAAAAAATATAATTGAATAGATTATTAAAGACTAACGGTTTGATACCAGATATCTCTGATCAGACTGAAACCTTTGTAACTTCACAATTACCATAACACTGGGTTAACAGCTCTCTAAAAACAGTAGAACGTTTTTTTTTTTAAACATAGTGGGTAATGTGTCAATATAGTATTATTATAATACATTTATACTATATTTAATTAGGCTGCTGTTACTGAACTGCTCCAAGGACAGACTCAAAAGATCCTTCCTAAACTGTCTAGAAAGACATTTGTAGAAGGGGGGCACTAAGGGACCATGTGTAGAACCTTGAAGGAATCTTTTAATAAGTGTCACTTTATGTATAAAAGTCAATTCATTTCCCTTCTTCTTCTTATAACTGACCAGACCTTACTTTTTGCTCTTTGTTGCTGTTGAGTTCACATTTTCCTTCAGGAACAATAAAGTATCTATCCATCTATCTATCTATCTATCTATCTATCTATCTATCTATCTATCTATCTATCTATCTATCTATCTATCTATCGCTCACAATGTCTGAATATCTAGCAAGAGAAACTCCAGTAACGCACATTCCTATAACACCCACCACAGAATTGCTGGGGGAACACATTTCTAAGCCTACTCCCACTCCACATAGCACACTTAGAATGGATGAAGAGCTCTCAGAACCTCATCAGTTGAATGGGTGAAGATGTGATCCACTGTTACCTGGGTGAAACCCACACTGTTACTCTTTAATCTTAAGCTTAACAACTGGATGGAGCCTCCTCTCCAAAACCCTAGAGAAAGATGTCCCTAGGAGGCTGAGTCATGTGGTCCTTCCGTGGGCAGTAAAAATGTTCCTTTCCGCTCCTTGAGAAGTGGACCACCAAAACGGTCCGCCAGTCCACAGGTGTTGTTCCAGTTTTCTATGTTACCTTGAGGACACATGTCAGCCGTGACATCGTCACAACTACTAGAGCCCTGAGCAAATAAGAACAAATCTTGACCATCACTGGAACTTGTTTTTTTCTTTAGTTCTAGGAAGCTTTTCGACTAGGACATGCTGGTCGGATCCTGAGAGAAGTCCCTACACTATATATTTTTATTTTTGGGCAATGGTTCTAGACCTCTGCCTCTTGCCCAATGTCAGCTGGGAGTGACTCCGACCCTACTAGACAGCCGGGGAATTCTGTTCTTTTCTGAGTCATCAAATAGTTTGCGTGAACATCCCGGGGTCCAACTGAAATTCTTTCTGGGCGGAAATACTCATTTATTGATAAATTGTTTTTTTGTTTTTTTATCGAAATGCAACAAGCACCGTTTGTTATATTGCCATTAGAGAAAATTGAGGGAAAATAGAAGATTTGTTTACGTTAAATACCATTACATCATTGAAAATTATGTTAGGTCAACTTTATGGTAAGTATTTCGTCAACTAGTATTTCATGGATGGAAGCGACTATCTCATTGAGATAATGCATCTTAATTTTTTTTCTTGTTTTTTTTTCACATTTCCAATTGTCTCCCTCCGTATTCCGAGCCCATAGATGGCAGTAAACGCACCTTTACGGTGGACAACGACCGTCAGTTAAAAAGAGCAGAAGAAGTACTGAAACCCCACAATAACACGGAAACAAGTAGAAACAAAATCCTAATACGGGGACGAGATGCTTTAGTCTTTGCAAAAGTCCTCCCGATTTCCCCTCGACAGATGTGAACGTTTCACAGCAGCAGTGGTCAACACACCTGGAAATGCTCAGGCAACAGGGAGGGCATCAGCTGGCTGATGGAGCCGTGGGGACATTTGGGGTTTTGGTAAGAACAAAGCCACACGGCGAAGAGGCACTGGCTAATTTAAAAGAATATTTCTGGCATCCCAAACCGCTGGGTGCTGAGTTAGAAAGACCAGGTTTGTATGACTTGACTTCTCGTAGCGACTGCGTCTTTTTTGTCCCCTTGTTGTTGCCGTTACCGGCTCAGATGCCTTCAGCTTGTAGGGACCATATACATATATACGTATATGTCTATATATATACGTATACTGTATGTCTATGGTAGGGACGGACCTTCTTAATGCTGTTACCGGTGCCGACTGGCTTCAGCTCGTTTGACAACAACAATTTTAAGGACGGTAGTGGAGCTAATGTACAGTCAAACAGCTGCCAGTGTCGTAACTTATCAACGTAACTTACGTCCGTTGTTGGATAGGCTACAGATAAAAAACAATGTCTCTTTTCTCCCTTACTGATCATTTATTTATCCCATATTTTAAGGGGAACGCAGCCCCAATCTTGGCAGACAAGTAAAATCTGACTACCTATTATAATTCTAATGGTTAGCTCTCTGTTTACACATTATATCTTCCTGTTTACATGCCATCGTTAATAAAACAAGCCATTTACTGTTGATCGAGTAAATGGCTTGACAGATGTACAGTCATCATTTCTGATGCACTTAGCTGTTTGAAGAGACAGAACTGTATTAGAATTTTAGGCAAATGTAGTTGTTTTGAGATACATTGTGATGATTCATTAAATATCCAGCTTTTCCCTGCAGATGTCCAGCATTGGTTGGTGATTAAAGAAGAGGTGCCCCATGAATGGGAGGCTGGTTTGGAGCGGCAGGACCCAGAACATCTCTGCATAAAGCAGGAACTGGAGGAAGTCGCTACCAGTCAGGCAGAAGAGCAGGCGCTGAGCGTCTGTGAGGAGAGTATCCACAGGATCACAGTCACCGACGCTCATCTGAAGAGCGAAGAGGATGAAGAAAAACCTCAGCTCTCCCGGTTTCATCCCAACCAATTTGAAGTGGATGGAGAGTTTGAACCTAGTCCTAGCATCTCGTTTAAACTGATAAAAAAGGAATCTGATGGAGAGGACTTTTGTGAACAGGATGAACAGGAGCAAACTTGGAACTGTGTTCCACCTACCCCTGGAAGCGCATCAGACTCTTCTCTGACCGATGTCAGTGAAGATGATGAAGGTCCGCAAGAGCCTTTGTCAGATCTAACATCTGAAACTGGAGACGGCGTTGATGTAAGAGAAAAAACATTCATTTGCAATGATTGTGGACAACGATTTAACCAAAAGACACATCTTAGAACACATATGAGAGTCCATACAGGAGAGAAACCGTTCAGTTGTGATTATTGCGGACAGAGATTTAACCAAAAGACAAATCTTACAGCACACATCAGGATCCACACGGGCAAGAAACCATTCAATTGTAACATATGCGGACTGAGATTTAGTCGCAAGAACAATTTAAAGACCCACATGCGAGTCCACACGGGAGAGAAACCTTTCAGTTGTGACCATTGTGGACAACGGTTTACAGATAAAACAAACCTTAACCGACACATGAGCGTTCACACTGGAGAGAAACCATATAAATGCAACGACTGTGGGAAACGATTTAATCGCAAGACAAACCTTACGGTACACACAAGGGTACACACAGGAGTGAAGCCATTCAGCTGTGACGACTGCGGACTGAAATTTAACCAAAAGATAACTCTTATGAGTCACTTAAGAGTCCATACAGGGGAGAAACCTTTCAGCTGTGATCACTGTGGACAACGGTTTACCGAAAAAACTAACCTTAACCGACACATGAGCGTTCACACCGGAGAGAAACCATACAAATGCAGCGATTGTGGACAAAGATTTAGCCGAAAGCCAAACCTGAAGGCGCACAAAAGGATCCATACAGGAGAGAAACCATTCAGCTGTGACACATGTGGACAAAGATTCAACCAAAAGATCACTGTTACAGATGATCACTCATATGCGAGTTCACAGCAGGGAGTAAATATTGATTTGGGATATTGTTGTGCAAAAAGTACCTAAGCTGTCCATCCCGATGAAAAATCTGGTGGTCATTTATCATTTTGTCTGCTTAATTGAAAAGAGAATTCTGAATTACATCATGGACATCAAGTCTAAGTTGTATGGAGAAATCTGAAGTGAATAAACAGGTGTTGCATTTAATGCTTTCTGATTGTGGTTTTATTTTTGTTCTGTCAAGTGAGTATGACCTTATAAGAGGCTTTCTCGATTTGTAACTTTTTGCCTATTTGTTTTTTAATTTCCAAGGGTTTCTATGAACCAAAGGGACATTATGAATCATTGGCACAAGAATCATTGGCATAAAAAAAGGGAGATGGGGAATGGTGGTAAAGAAGTTAATAAAAATTCTGGTTGATTAAAAGCAGATTAATACTTTTTTTTTTCGAAAAATAAAATGTATTCAAAATTTTTGTCGTAAATTTTTGTGGATTAAAGTTCAACTATAAGAAAAATTTAAAGAAAACACATGAGGGGCTCAGAAATGAGAGATACCGTTGTTTTTGTGATGTTGTGGAAAATGAATTGTGCAAAACTTGTGTTATTGCTGACAGACAAAATATCCCCACGTCCCCTTAAAATCTATTTATTTTGTAGCTAGTAAAACATAGTAAAACATTTAGGGAAACAATCCAACCATCCATTTTCTATACAGCTTATTCCCAACTGGGTTACGGGGGGCTGGAGCCTATCGCAGCAACAAACTTTAGGTACCATTGTTTATGTGTTGTCTCATACATTATTGAAGGGAAAGTCATTTTTAGTTATTCAAAAGTTGAAAAAGAAGTGCTATGTTTAAATCAGTCAGACAATCTGTAATCATTCAGCCATCTGTCTGTTTGCAAAACAGTGAAGTCACATATCCAATGAAAGCAGCTGGATTCTCTCAGTTAGGGGCAATCCTGCTGATCAGGTGTGACTGTCTACCACAGCCTGGATCTAATGATGATGTATTCAAGATGCATTAAAAAACACAGCTTCAGCTGTAATCCAGGAAATATCATTCTTTAGTTCTCAAATGTCCAATCCAGGGCATCCAGATTTTTTTTTTCTTTCAAAAAGTTCATTAAAAAACTAGATTTACCTTCAGGACATTTATTCCATCTCAGTCTTGAGCAGATCACAGCTTAGTCACTAACAAATGGAAGGACAATTGCATTTTAGTGTGTAGTAGTTTTATTACTCCCAGTTTTTTGGGATTACAGTGGTAGTCTTTAAGGAACTTTCAGTTTTAACAAGCCTTTTCTGAGACAACGTGGAAAACCAAAACAACTAAAACATTTCCTACATAGAGAAACAAATTTACGCTTAAGATGAATGGGCTGTAGCGTCCTTTTAACGACTAAGAACCAACTGGCCTGGAGGGGGGGGGGATTTTCTATCCCGAACATGATCACGTTTGACTGCAACGCATGCGCTTGTGTTGCAAAAATCGACGCAGCGTCCCAACACTTTTTGTTGTCTTCGGTCCAGAATCAGCACCATTGTAGCCAGGGATATTTACGTACACTGAGTGGTCAAAATCAAGCAATTTAGGCACTTATTAAAAAATTGGCAAAGGTCGTGATAAAACTGTTACGTAAATTCTGTTATCAAAATGCTGCTGAGTATCATGCTTAACAGTCAACTAAAATAGAAGCAAAACTATGCCTACAAACACATTCAAAGCTGGCCTCACAGATAATTCAACTAAAATCTAAAAACAGTCCAATTAGGCCTCATACCGAGCATAACGTGTGATTACACAGCACAGAGGAGATACGGACACTTAAGTTTACTTTGGATATCGACTATCTCAACATTGGTTGTGCTGCTGTTCAGCTCAGGTACTTAAAAAGCAGACAGACACTCATACCTGCAGGTAAGTGGAACACACTAATCTATCATGGACAAACATTTAAAAGTGCTTTACATTAAGGTACCTTCAATACATTCACCTCTACATTATGACGTCGTCTAGAATACCACACAGGTAAAGAGCTGCAATGGATGAGTATTGTCTTTGGAGGAGAAAAGAAAAGAAAGAGATTGCTTTTAACGGAAAACGTGGAGTGAGAAAGGAGTGTGTTTCTTTTGGTGGAGGGGCAACAAAACAATTCCTTAATTCCGGAGGTTCGTTTTCACTACTGTGATAAAGACAAAAAAATATTTAAGTCAATATGTTTTTTTTTATGTCTTAGACCTCTGATATTGCTATGGGAAAGGAGGTCATACGGACGAACTGATGGCCGTCAGGAAGGGACGAAGACAGGAAAATAAAGGGAAAATAGCATCTGTCAATTCAATTTGGATACCAAAGATGAAAAAGTTCTGCCCAAACCCCTTTTATCAAATCAATTTGATTAAAGAACCATGCTGCTTTAACATGTTGTCACACTGGATTAAGCATGTCTGCCTCTTAACTTGAAAATACTTCAGAAACGTTGGTTGGCGGTTGCATACTTTATGGACGCGCCTAACAAAGGCCCTGTATGTTACAGGAGGGTCTCAGCATCTTTTTGAGCACTGTATTTAGATATTTTAGCCATTTGACCTTTGAGATTTTCTTGCTTTATCACAGTATAAAAAAAAAGGTCTCCAAAAGAATTGAGATTTGAGAAACTAAGTAAAGAAAAAGTCAGACACACACCATTGCTTGTGGGTATGACAACTTCTGATATTGCATAAGACAGTCTATCTATCTCAGCTTTGTCTTTTGTTAAACAAAAGAAGCTTTACTGTGGTCATGAATTAATTATTTGAGATGCTGACAGGTAGTTTACTTGTAGACTAAGTTAGGCCAGCTGTTGCCCATTTTCCAGACTTTTACGCTACACTAAGCTAACTAGCTTAGCCAACTAGCTTAGAATAGCATAAATATCTTAACCATTGCTGCTCAGACACAAACGTGCGGATATCCTCACCTGACTCGACAAGAAAACAAACAGAAGCCCTTCCCATAATGTTCATATATTCTTTTAAATTTGCAGTTGATGTGAGCTGAAATTCACTTTCAAAACTCGATTTTCGCATTAAGGCTTCTAATCTTAGACCGAAACTCTTCAAATTCAACTCGAAATAAACCATTTTTCAGAAATGTAACATTTAACAATGACAAGAGAATATCTAGACTATTGCACATTGGAATTTCATAGAGGCTTTTATAATTGCTTTACTTCTACAGAGACAATGTCTCAGAGGGTTTGATTCCAATATTTCGTCAAAGTTTGAAAATATAACCACTAAATCAAATAGAAGCTGCTTGTGTTTTTTCCTTTTTTTTTTCAAGAGATATGCACACATATACCATACTTGATTAATTGAGCTGGCCAAGTGCTTAAAACCCTCTTTAAAAAAAAAAACTGGGCACTCATTTACCTTGTTAAAGGTTAGCAGTAATCTATAATTGACATGTAATTAGATATTTTTTTCTCAAAAGTTTATAAAAACATCAGCAGGACTTTAAAAAAAAGTAAAGAAAGATTTTCTTGGTAGCCTTGCCCCAAGAAGCTCTGTCATAAATATGAAAAAAACAAAACAAAGATTAAATGATTGGATAAACGCGACAATAGAAAGCAGAAAATTAGTGTGGAGGGGGAAAAGAGAAAGGAAGGGGGTTAAAAGCTGTTGGCACGAGGGAGAAGGGAGGGAGTGCAGTCCTCCTGATTCAGTCTGTTACAGGTGCAGCTAGTAAGGGCCTTTACTGTGTCCAAAGATCCCAATGGGGAAGTGTTTGACATGTGAGGACCACTGGGCCGCCAACTGGAAAAACTTCACATCGTTCCACTCGACGCCATCAATCAACACTGCAGAGAGGACCAGAAAGAAAGAAAGAAAGTAGAACTGAAATTATTACGAGCTCCTTCAACTGCTTCAGAATGGGCTTTAAGTTATGCTCTTATCCTTTAAAATGACCTAGTACTTTACTCCCCATTTAACAGATTGAGCTTTTAGTTCTGTAAGGAAATACCTTAAGTAGGCCATTAGATCACCCATTTAAGATCACTTATTTATAAGTGATTGATGGTTTTGTTCCTCTGTAGCTCTCGTAGATGTAGCATCGTGCCGCGAGAATGGCTTTATTTTGGAATACTTTAGCATCATATCATTTGTAAAAGTGCAGTTAAAGATTTCAAAAGCTGATTTGGAGCCAAATCTTGTTTTTTTTTTGCATATCAGCACAGAAAATGGTACTGTAAATGTACTATAATATTTCTGTCACTTGAAAACTAAAATTGGTTTATTACTGCAAACATAAACAGTAAATTCACCCAGAGTTTCATTTTCTATTACTGAAAAAGTCTACCAGTCCAGTGTAGAAATTATGGGAGACTTGATTAGTGATATATTTAAAAGACAGAAAAACAGATCATTTGAAAATATTAATTCCTTTTGTTCAAGAGTAAATCAATGCTAAATAAAATATTTCTGAGATTTTCTTTTGAATCTTAAAACTATGGTGATAAGTGGATAATAAGTGGATCATAAACCTAATTTTTAGCTAAACATAATTCTAAAATATCAACATCACAGAAAATTAATGACCTGAATATCTCCAGCCTATCCCAGACTCTCTCGGGAGGAATAACAGATCAGAACAGGAGGGCGGTGCTTTGAATTTACCCCTTAACATGGTCTGCTGGTGCTTGGCAGTGCAGATGAGGCGGCTGATGCCCTCGATCACTTGACTCTTGGACTCCACCTCCTTGTCTTTGCTCTTCTTCGGCAGAAACATGACTGACGGAGGGGAATGACAAATTACACACTTTTAAATAAACGAGGGATTAATAATCACACTCTGTATGGGGTGAGATATGAGGGCCGTGACTTATTTCTGGAGGAGGAAAAAAAACAACATTGGACTGGACAACATTTTCTTAAACCCCACGTTCAGGGAAATCCTAAATGCACCGTTTGAAGGTAAGTGAGATAAGAAACTACACACCCTTCTTATACTTCTCCTTGGTCACCACAGTCATGGACATGGTGGGCTGCGGGCTGGGCTCTGCGCCCCCGAGCGGCAGCCGGCTGACCTGCAGCGAGCGGAAATTGCACTTCAGGGTGTTTTTGGTGGAGGAGTCCCGCTTCTCCACCTCTTTCTTCCTCTCTGTCGGAGCCACCCAGTAGTCCACCTGCAGACCCATCAGCTCCCCCGGACTGCTGGAACTACAGAGAGGGAGGGAAGGAGTTCACAAAAAATCTCACATGCTCCTATCAGAACCAAATTTCTTTAAAGCTTTTGTCGCACCACAATGGATCCTGTTCTGACTGAAAGTGGATGTATCAACTCCGCCGACGACATCCTACCTGTAAGCGCAGAAGCTGGTGTTGACGGAGGGCGAGGAGGGCGGCGTGGGAGAAGCCTCTTTGAGGGCAGGTGATACTTGTGGAGGGGTGGAGGAGAGCAGAGAGGAACCCAGCGGCGCCGCGTCATCCGAGTCTCCTGAGGAAACGACAGCTCATTCATTCTAACCATTCTCGTCCTGTCATAGATTTTGAAACCGCAAAAAGGCCAGCGCGCTCTCCATTTTAGGAAAGTTTGACTTCCTGTTATTCTGCTGAGAAAATACAGAGATGACTAAAGAAATGGGGGAAAGAGGGGTCTTTGGTTGAATACAGAACCAGGAGCAAGGTTATAGTTATAGTTGGGACTTAATATCATATGTAGATATGAAGTCATAAATCTCCAAAACCACAGGGTAACCACTGTGACAAGCAGCCTTTTCGCAACCATTAGGCGTGGAAGTTAAACATCCAAGTATCTTAAACAGAGACTTGCCTGATGTCGCAGATGTTTGCTCCACAATGCCAACTTTCACCATCTGAAAGCACCAGAGGAGAGAAAGAGAAGATGCATTAAAACTACCAATTCTGGCGCCCAAAAAGCTCTAAACCAACCCAAAATCAGGGGGAAGAACTCCAACTTACCCCAATGAATGGGATGAATTTCTGACAGGAATCCTCATCAGGGCTGAGGACAGGCAGCAAACACACAAAAAAGAGATCAGGTAACAAACGGACAACACAATAATCAACATTTAATGATTAAAAAAAAAAAAAAATCAGGGTTACACGATAAATCTAAATCAATATGAGGACACTAAGTTCTAAAAGCATTAAGAAACTTTCTCTGATAAGTAGAAGTTGATGAATGATTCCAAAGGCATGCCATCTACAGTCTTAAATCTAGTATTAGTAACATGTTCATGTTGACTTTTAATTCGGTTTCACAGCTGGAAACGCTTTGGCCCGACGTTGCATAGATTGTATGCAAAGCCCCGATGCACATGCTGCTGGGCTGAAACCTTTACTAAAAGAGATTTGGTTTCCAACCGCGAGCCTCTGATTGGGCGCTGGACAGGCAGAAAGGAAAGCATGCAAGCTACCGGCCGATTTATGGCCTGAAACGAAGCCATCCAATCACTGCAGAGACAAACCGGATCCGCCTAAAGAGTCAGGTGGGTCGTAACAAAAGGCAGCAAGTCCACGAGAGGGATTTCAATGCAGGGAATATAAAGAAGTGGATTAGAAGGAAGAGCACCAACCTAAATCCAAAACCTCTCTGGTTCCATGCACTACCCGGGAGAGGCAGTGCATAACTACACTTTAAAAGCCGTCTACGCTGTGAACTATTTTCCTGGCAAGACGCCGAAAAATAGCTAGAATGGAGCACTACTAAACTCTAATTCTACGTTCTCTACGTGTAAAAGTCGTCCGACGACGTGAGAGGTTGTTGCTCTTGCCTTGAAGAAACCTGCCATCGCCCCCCCAGGGAAGAAACAGAGAGACTACAGAGGGAAGGGACAGAGAGAAGACAGAAGTCTGCAGAGGGTAAGGTCTGGTTTCCCTTACACAACACATCTCTGCTGACACCAGCAGCCAGAGAGACTCAGCCAGATGTCTGCCTGCTATGTGAGCGATGTGATGCGTCTGACAGACATAGTTCTTCCAGAAATTGGACAAAACGTATGATGCCGTTAGCTATAGCTCCACATGCAGGTGAATAATAGTCATGCCCTTTTAGACTGCAAAGACAAGCTCAGACGAAGAATAGGTCTCATGATCTTATTATTATTGTTAGATGTATGTGTATATATATATGTATATACATACAAAGTATGGAAAGTTTAATTCATTTGAGTTTGAATTTGTCACACTCTTTGAAAGACCTTTGCCGGCTCTACATTGTCCTTTATTAACATGATAAAAGCCAGACTGCATTTACAATAATCTATAAATCTCAAGTGCTGCACTAGGGACACACCTGCTGTCAGTAGGGCCAGTTGGGTCAATTTCCTGTCATGTGACTTGTTGAACAAAATATGTTATTTGGTTTTCTTAGATAGTTACACTGTGAAATTTTTAAGATGGCACTGATCTGCATTTTAATGGGAACATTTTAATGAGAAATGAGAAATATATTGTATAAATTCTGTCTTCTGAATCAGAGTTTATAAAAATATTTCTGAAGAATCTTTCAGCTTCCCTCCCTCCATCTTATGTCACATTAGAGATTGTGACAGTCCAGGTGATTGAAATGTATGACAAACATCAAATGACAAAAGCTATATGGAAACCATTCAGAAACCCTTCCTGATTTCAGTGGTTTAAGGCTCAGCTCATGATCAAATTTTAAAAACTCAAAACTTAAAGCATAACTCCCTTTACATAATTGTACAAATAACAGACAGACATGAATGGCCAGAAGCACAAGCTCATGGAAGACCAAAAAAAAAAACAGGGAAGAGGGACAAACATAGAGAGAGGAAAGCGGATCACTCTGATAAAGTTTGGACTCCCGCCACTTTATAAGCGCATTTTGGCTTGAATATAAAATCGGTCAAAGAACAGGTTTTGGTCCTTTTTTGCTGGACAATAAATGTTTCCATTAAGCAAGTAATTTTTTTTTTTTTTTTTATCTGGCTAGAATCATAGCACACTATTAGTTTTGGCTATACTAACATCAGCCTAGACTGCAAAGCAAACTATATGTAACGAAAATTCAAATAAATAGTTAATTTGCCATTTTAGGGGCTGGATAAGAGTTTCTATGATAAAAATGTAACACTCATTGTATGCCTGTGGTAAACATTAAGATACAGCTAGGTGGCTTATTTTAGTTTAGCTCAGTAATAACACTACAAACCCCATTTTTAGAAGCTTAATATATTTTCTTCTGGATATAGTATAGTTGGTGATTGTAGACTAAACAAATGACTTCCATTGTATATTGTTACTGTTATTTTGTGATTCAAACAAATGAAAAATTACAGATTTAAGCTCTTTTTACAAAACTTTTTGGAAGGGGGTTGGTAGAAAAAGGAGAATCCAATTACCCAGGTTTGTCCAAAAGAAACATCATCTGCTCTTACAGCACATTTCAGCCAAAAATACTGAAACGCTTGATCATTACGCAAAAAAAGAAATGTAAGTGCAGGGCTGTTTCTTGGCAGATAGCAGAAAGTGAAACAGCCCCATAATGCATCCCCTTAAAAGATTTAGTCAGCGTTCCTCTCCTCGTCTTGGACTGTGCTAACCAGCTGCTGGCTGTAGCTTTACTCTGAGCAATGACCCGCGGTCAAACGAAGCTAAACAAGTTTAAATTGGACAAAAAGGGCAACGTGAAACTCCCACTGGGGACCAGAAAGTATCATTGCCTCCCCCTTGGGCGACTCATAAATTAAAACTTGACTCAAAACCAGGCCATAGGCAGCTGTTAAAGTGGCGAGCTCCAACACAGGCTGACACCATTCAAGTGGAAATGGTTCCAACACACAGAAAGCGCACGGATCATCAGGCTACATGAGGAAGAAACAAAAAAGCTATCGAGCACAATACCTTACTGCAAAATCAAAATGAAAGCTCTTTTTCCTTCAAAGAAAGAAAACATATAACAAAAAGATAAAAACATGTTATTAACACATACACACACAGTGATGGAAAGACAGTGATGCTTAGACAGACTACCTCCCACACCCACCAGCCTCCCATTAGTGAAATATTCCCCTCAGTTTTTCAAAAGGGGCTTGAATGGAAAACATATCGGCCCACATTTGTGTTTTTGTTCTCTATGTATTATGGGGGCCTATCTGGCTGCCTACCATGTTCTTTTAACAAAACCTTTACAAAAGGCTAAATTAAATAAATAACCCTATAAAGGATTTTTTTTAAATAGTCATTCAAAAGCCGATGCTATCGCTATTCATTAACACGAGGGTATTTCACATATCAAACCTGCAGAAAACATTTCAATCCCCTTTTGAAAAAAAGGAGTGAGGCACTGGTTATAGGAAACCATTAGCTTAGAATTGGATTTTATTGTTTCTCCCCAAAAACAGATTTCAGATCTGTGGAAATTCTTTTGACTCCTCTTTACTAATGTAAAAATGTTGGACAGGGGGCATACCTCTTCTGCTTGTATGTGAGCATGGCCTCTGCGATGGGCAGCTGGTGGGCTCCGTTAGCTCCCATCATGTATTGGGTCACTCTCGACACCACGTCAGGGTTCTCCTGAGCTGCACGGGACATAGGGATTAGCACCTCAGCGCACGTTCTCCAATGTGCTCCCACTAGTTTATCTTCAAATCTAAACTTCAAACTTTGAGATTTTGTGGGGAAAAGCAACCAGTTTTTGCAACTTCCTGAGTTTCCTCGGATGAGCATTTTACATGTGTTGATAAATTTGTGTACTGGTGTCAAAAGAGTCCCAACAACCCACCAACTACAGGAGCCTCTGGCCTGTGGAACAGATCCCTCCAGGCAGCGTCTTGGAACAAGCTGTTGTATCGATAGTCAATGGTGCCAAGGTATTTGGACACTGGATGTGCACCTACAGAAGATTTTTTTTTTAAAAGTACATTCAGAATACGAAAACATTGTATAGAAGTGCGATGTTAGCTTTGAGGTGATGTTGGGACTACGTTAGAAACACAACCACCCATCCATACATAATCTATAACCCTTTCCCCAGTGGGAGCCTATCCCAGCTGACAATGGACGAGAGGCGGGGTACACCCAGACACACAACCATACACGCGTTCACTCCTTGGGGCAATTTAGAATGGTCAGCTGACCTAACGTGCATGTTTTCGGATGGTTTGAGGAAGCTTGAGTATAAAGAAATACATCCATACAGGTGGTTGGTCACCAACCTAGAGGGATGATGAGGAACCTCATGTAGCCGAGCCAGTCTGGCGTCTTGTGGGAGAGGTGGTCCACAAAAAGCCTCAGAACGCCACTGAGGTAGTTCTGCGCTCCGGCCACGGCGATCTTAATGGGAACGGGCGTCTGGGAGTTGCAGTTGCAGCTGGGGAGAAAAAAAAACAGCAGCGCGGTCTTGACGTCTCTCGGCAACACATGGTCGATCAGACAGGCGGGAGATTCGGGGCGCAGGCTTACAATCTCTGTATGCGCGACACAATGGTGTTGAACGCAGCCTGGATGTCGGCGGTGGTGCAGGTGCAGACCACTGGCAGGTTGTGGTTTTGCAGCATCTCCGACAGGTACTGAGGGATGGGGATGGTAGAGGTATAAAAGGTGCCCGATTTCATTCGAATCGGGCATCGCTCAACAAGACTTTCTTAGGTTTCAGATTGACTGCGTGATTAGATGCCCTACCAGAAAATGTTCAAATCGTCCATCCAATCCTCTATCCCGATGTTAACCCCGATAATGTAACAATGATCATTTATAATATTTGACTCTTTGAAGTCATGGAAAACCAATTCAGTTATACCACTGTTCAATTGCAATCACCATTCAAAAGCATCTCTTACCTGGCCCTGCCAGTCGGACGTATTGATGAGGATGATGCTGTCGGGGAGTTGGTTATCCGATACCAGAATGTGGTTCAGTTGGTCGTAAACTGTTTTTCTCGGTATCTGGGTAAAAGATATGTTTTAATGTTTTCATAATCTGTCATTCGACGATGATTAAGACCTCAATACTGAGGTATTGAAGAAAAGCGTGGCCTCCCGGCGGCGTCCTTGCCTCGGCGTTCACCTACCTGCAGGTGGCAGCGGGTGTCCAGGGACCGCTCGTTGTCCAGGCTGTTGGCCCTCTCGTTCTGCGGCCGGCTGGGCTGCCGCTCCTTCAGCGATGTGCTCCTCCCTCGTCTCCCCGCCAACTTCGGTTCCTGCCTGGGAACAGAAGTCAGAAAAGAGCGAGTTACATGGCACTCTCCGCTGTGCTCTGTCCTTCCACTGAATTTTGAAGGCAATCACCATTCTTTTGTGTAAGGTGCATTTTGTTTGCGCTATAGGAAAAATGAAACATACAGGCCTATGTACCTGTTGGATGATATGATGAGAGATTCTGTCTTGGTCATTTTGCCACTTGGTGGCAGCCTTTCCATGAACGTGTCCATGTTGTCCATCTCCAGTTCTGTGGTGGGGGTCACCGCCTCCGGATGCTCCTGAGGGAAAACAAAAACAAAGGAAAAGGGTTAGTAGGTTACAAATTGGCAGTTGAAATTCTGCTCTTTAACACAACACTGTTCACATCCTGTATGGCATTACAACCCCAAATGACTTAGTTGTCACAAATAGATAATAAATATTCAATATATAAAGATACTTTATTTTCGATCTTCGAAACGCTAATCGGACTGATTTCATTTGAGCAGCTCCGGTGAAGACTCACGAAGGAAGTGTTGTCAGACACACCATCATCTGGAAATTTGCCCCCACCACACTTGGTTTTATCCAGATCAAGCTGGAATGAGGAAGGAAGAAAAATTAACACCACCAGACTTTTGGAACTTTATTCTCAGAGAGAAAAATATATGGCCTGACTCGTGATTGGCTCTTGGTTTAACAGAAGCCCTCCAGCTTCACAAACAAAATGTGAGCGGTTAAATCGCTCAGACTGATAGGAAAACATCTGATAGGAAAGGGGACTTTCGGTTTGAGATGGGGTGACGTTGATTGCTCAGTGTGCGTGGAGAGAAATCGGCCTCCCTGGTGATTTATTACGGACGACTGGCTGCACTGATGTGCTGTGGTGACAAAAGGTCTCACCGGGCTGGGAGGCTCCCTGTGGCTCCGGCTGCTATGGATGCTGCCAATTTCTGTTTGAGAGCTGGAGAGGGAGAGGCCCTCGAAATATGGCCTGAAACAAAAGCACGCTTGAATTAGAAGGAAACAAAAAATGGCTGTTGAAGTTAATTGTCAAGACATCTTCTTGGAATTACAAGGTCGGTTTTGCATACATCTGAAAACCTGAGAGATTTTTAACGGGGTTTATTCCAGGCAGATCACGCCAAAAATGACTCTGTGATATCAGCGGAATTCTGAACTTGCATATCAAAAAAAGGCGCCATCAGTGCTGTGAGGTTTAAACGGATTTTAGACAGACATGTGCTCCACTCCAGATCAATTTTCCAGGCAAGGTGTTGCACTTTGTATCACTGTATCAATGGAAGAAACTAACAAAAGTGCTGGGCTGCTTTTTCTTGTGTTTTTCTTGTGTTAATTGAATTTCGCAAAAAAGCGTTTTCTGTCGATGTCAATTTCTGTGAATGCAAACAGTCCAATTCTTTTTGTTGGTTACCCCTTAAAAAGACAATTTATGCTTGCAATAGACATTTTTTCAGGAATCTACTTAATTGAAAAAAATTAATTCATAGATTTTGAAAGTGAATCAGGAATATTTCCAATTTCACCTCATCAGTCCATCCCATTTTATTTATCAGTGGCCATTATTTAAACATCAATTAACATATTTAAACCACTGTCTGTTAAAAAAAAATTATGAACCACGCCTCAAAAAAGCTGACTGAGGGTCTCACTTGAGTTTGGGTTTTGGCGTGCTGAGGACGCTGTCGTCGTCGTCCAGCTCGGGGCCGCTGTCGCTGGGGTTCTCGAACTCCACGCTGTCCAGGTCCAGGTCCTCCTCCTCCACCTCGGGAGGGGGCTCCGCGGGGTCCTGCTCCGAGTCCAAGACCTTCGCGGACGCGCACACGGGCATAAGTGGTCGCGAAGGGGAAAAACAAACTCTGAGAGGCGTGAGGCGGAAACACCCACCTCATCTGATACTCGGAACCGCTTCAGGAGAGCCACCACTCGCTGCTTAAAGTTCTGCTGCTAAACCACAGGAGAACAAAACACTAAGTCAGTGAGAAAGAAGGTTATTTGGAAAAAGGTTTTTCGCCAAGCTGGGAAAAGAACTACAGACACATCTAATCATCTCGAGCATAGGCCTAAATCAGGGGTGCCCAACCCCGGTCCTCGAGGGCCACTGTCCTGTAGGTTTTAGAGGTTTCCCTGCTTCAGCAAACTTGATTCTGATTAAGAGGATCAGTTCAAAGGCTCTGCACAAACCTGATGATCACACACGCATGGGAATCAGGTGTGTTTAAGCTGTGAAACTTCTAAAACCTGCAGGAGAACGGCCCTCGAGGACCGACTTTGGGTTAGGGTTACCCCAGGCTTATTTCTGCTGGTGATGTATAAAAACTTTTTTTTTTAAACACTTTTTTATGTACTCGAGAGCACAAATTTGCATTTCAGAAGCCACATCTTCCTCAAATTATGCTTTCCCACTGCTTTGTTTTAACATTCTATATCCCGAGAAGCAAATGTGACTCTAAACTTACACGGATTGTTTTCCAGTCCGAGCTGCATTTGAGGTTACTTAAATAAATTTGCCAACTTTGAGGCAGCAAAGCGGCTTAAGTATTGCTTGTAGTCAGTGTTGTACTTTATTCAAAAGGCACCTGAGCATGTGATAAACCACATGAGGCCCATTCAGCCGCAGAGTCAGAACAAATCCTCTGTACCTCTGCGCACAAGCTTAGATAATAGATCGAAATACGATGCCTGTGAGTTACTGAGGCTGCCCAGAGCTGCTTTCACAGCAGTGATCCGCATCCATCGCTCTGTTGCACTGTTTGCTAGTTTAACTTCAGGTGTGAAGGGGCAGAAGAGGAAGGAAAATAAGCATGCTTGGTTCCTGCTCGGCCTCTTACTCTGGTGATGGAGGGAGTCCTCACGATGGACCTTCTCTGTTTCTTTGGCTTTCTCACATCAAACTCATCATCTTCAAGATCCTGTAGAGATTAAAAAAACACAAAAAAACATACTTGCTCGTCTTTGCAAACTGCTCAGTGCAAAGCCAGGTGTCTCACTGCAACATTATCAAATGAGTGTTTAATTATTCAGCGGCCAGCCACTGACCGGGTTAACGTAAAGCAAAATGGCTTCATGAATTTAAAAAACCGAAATGATCTCTCCGGGCTGACTCACCTGTCCCTGCACAGCGTCGTCGCTGGCTTCCTGCTCCGAGGAGAAGCTCTCATACTCCTCTTCTGAGTAGTTATCTAAAGCAGTAGAAGATTAAAGGCTTGAAAGTGTAGAGGAAGCCTCATACATATTGCATTGACCTTTCTAAATCTGACAAGCAGCCAGCTTCTAAATATAAATGATGTGTATAATGCATGCAGGGCTGGATGCTACTTGGATTTTATTGCGTTTCAACTCATTTTTGGGGGGGGGTAACAAACCCTAAAACTTGTGATACCCGCACCGTTCAGCCAATCAGACCTGTCGGGTGGTTGTGATGGCTTCGTAGCTGTTTTACCCTCCGATTACTGGGAGTAAAGACATGCAGAGCATACCGGAGCATTTGATCTTCTGTCCTCCCTGCAGGGCGGCCTCTTCGTGGTCTATTGGCTGGCTGGAAAGGGAAAATATCCAGATCTCTGCCACTTTGCCCAGCATGTCTTTCTGGTTGCTGCAGAGAGGCAGAACCTGACCTCCTTCTGTTGGGTGCTGCATCACCTGGGAGAAGCAGAAAAACTCTTTTTAAACTCAAAACTTTAAAAAGTCTTTATTTTTGGATACTTAAGATCTTTCTTCAGGCCAGAGATAGCCATATTTGTAAAGAGGGTGAATCTAGAAAATGATACTTGAAATGAATACATCTCTGAATAGAAAATACAACAAGTGACCTACCAGCACTCTGACAGGTAGACGGGAAGTTGATAGCATCATGATGACTTAAGTGTCTTTTTTAATTTTCTGAAATACGCATATAGTTTTTGAATAGGAGTCTTTTAGAATAGGGCATGTTTTGGACCAAGCACAAAGCAGTGGCTTTGCATTAAAGGGATTGAGGATCTGTGGACCTCTCATCTTTTTTATGGAGAGGAACCTGAGAGATAGGCCTTCTATTTAGCTTAGTTCTATCTAAAGACTCCATAAATGCGTGGCAGCAGCGGTGGATGAATTGTACTGGGAGAAATACCTTTGTAATGTCAAACTGCAGTTGGTGACCCCTTTTTATGAGAAACAGGACAAAAAAAGTTGTTCTAATCCATGTCGGCCTCCATAGCAGGTGGAGGGCACTTAGGATCAAGCATTGAGCCCTAGGTCATAGCATGGTCTTTTTTTACTCTGTCAGAGATCAATTTGGGGTCTAGTTGTTTACCAAGTGCCAAGACCTGGCTTTCTAAGGGATCATATCGACGGTCCTTTGGGTTTATGGGATGCCAGAACAGTTTCTGATTACTGGAATGGCCCAGTACACTTTAAATTATGTGGCTGCGTGTCTTGGTAGTCCATGTAAAGACGATTTTGGGGATGGCAAAAAAAGCAACATATTTTGCACTTCTGTTACTATTAAAAGGAGGAACGGCTCTGGTTTGGACGCCTTACAAAGATGCCTCCTGAGGGCTTTCTTTTCTTAGGTTTACTGGTTGGAGGCAGCAGGGAGTGAGACCCACCTGCAAACCCCAGAGTTCATTAGAGTCTCCCAGGAGAGGTTGAAGGAAGTTCCTGGAAACAGGAAAGCAAGGCTGTGTGGAAGCAAAATGACCTACAGAGTGGACAGGCTGAACGCAGTGGTCATAGGGAATTTATTCACTTCCTAGAGTTCATGCAAATAATGTATTTCCATTGTAACTTGTACGTTGTACCAGTCGCCTAATTAAATGGAATTGATTGTATCCTTTGTGGAAGTGACTAAATGATTTAACAGTCTTGGTTGTAATCATACTTCGGCTGGGGACCAGCACAAACAGGACACAGAACGCCGCGCCCCATTTGAGGCGCCGCTGCAGGCAGCCGGGTCTGAATATATTTAGTAAAATGTAGTCAAAATGTAGGCTGAGGCTGAATCCTCACAGCTCCTTGAAAAATAGTTTGCGACGTGTTTTGAAACCTTCACAGAGCGAGGTTGCACCGAAGCATCTTAACAGCAACAAATTACCATTTTCTCAAAATGAATGACTTTAGAGATTCCTGCTTTTTTCCTTAGTCCAGGTTACTTCAAACCGATGCCCATCTCTGTCTCATTGCGGCCCAGTGAGACAACATTGTATTGTTTGTTTAACTCAGTCTGTCTCTTTTTTCTTTTATTCTCTCTAATAGACCCCCCCGAACCACCCCTACCCCCCCTCCCCCCCCCCAACCCCACCTCCTCCTCCTTTCAGGCGCCAAAATGTTTTTCTTGTCTTCTCTCAGCTGTTAAGATGTGGCTTTAATAAGCTCCAGTGAGCCTTGAGCGCCATATGGGAACTCCTTTGTGTATTCAAAATCGTGTGCGCTGAATTTAAGCCTTTTTTTTTTTTTTTTTTTCCCCCCGTTTTTTTCAAGCAGAGCAAACAAGCCACAGTTACTTTCAGTTTGGTTTTGCAATGATGTAGCAGATGGACAATTGATTGCATTGATTTTTACAAAACTCTGTTTAATGTTTGCTGCCTTCGCATGTAAACATAAGAACTACGGTTAATGGCTAGAACTGACGGGAAGTCCAACCAAATGCATCTGCATGCGTAATGTGATTAATATGCCAAAGAGCAAAGACAATTGTGTAAAGATTCATTTGAAAATAAATATAACCCCGGAGTTCCAACAATTCTCAATTTTGTTAAATGGCTTATGAAACATTTTGTGTGATCTGCAAATGAGTGGTGTGGATTCTGGCGTGGTTCGGGATGATTTGAGCACTTAAAAAAGAGAACATTTGACTTGTCTTGCACCTTGCAACTGAAAAGGCAAGGGAAGAGTCGGCAATAGCCGGCAAAGTCTCTCTGTATTTGTAAAACTGCTGCTCCAATTTCCATCGGTCTCATAAAATTTTCACACCGTTTCTGACACTAACTGCCTGTTAGAGCTGAAGCAATATTATTAATAAAGGCAGCACACGCTTTTATATTTGGTATACACACACACACAGCGACATCATATAAACAACCTGTCATGGGTTAGGAATATTCAAATCTGGGGTCACACTGTACCTCTGCCATATCGATAGATCCCATTGCAAGAGTCTTGTAGCCCAGGATGGTTCGGTTCTTGTATCTCTTTCGCCTTTGGAGCATGATCTGCAGCTTGTTTCCTTCTCGTTTTAAGAAGTGTGGGTACTGAGAAAGTGAGAAGCAGACAAAAAGAAGGGGGAGAGTGTACTTGGTTGGCATTGGATGTTCAAGAGGAAATACGTGATCCCTTATTTGTCACAGCCATTTTCTTACCATTCTGTCTCTGTCTCAATGTGTAATGCAATTCTTCACCAAGTAGTCAACCATTTCGCGCCTCAATTTTGTCATTTGTGGTTTATAATTGCATTATTCAAGCAATAATTCATAAATATGGGTTAGAAGCATTCTATTCATGCTTTATGCAGGTCCCAACCAACGGAAAAGTCTTTTACTGTAGCTGAAGGGGTTTTATACATCAAAAGACAATAGGTAAACCCCCAAATTTAAGTTAAAGCAAAATTAAGTGAATTTGTATAGTTTTTTTTTTTATGTTTATGCTTTGATTCAACATCTAAACTCAAACATAATGGCAATATGGATATTCTCGGATGTGGAAATGAAGCGGGTCTTTGTGAGAGAGGCCTAATTTTGTTATTCAAGGAAATGTGACGCGATGAGGCGCTGTCTGGTTTTCCAAAGTTACATTTGAACTCAGCATCTCTGCTCCTTACAGTGTGGATTTTAACATGGCGGAATACACTTCACAGGTCCACTTCACAGGGAGCCACGGGTCAGTGGGCCACACCCTTGGTTTAATTTCACATCAAAACCCAGTGCATGTTCAAAACTGATCCCACTGCAACATGCTGCTAATATTCAATCTTTTAACACTATTATTTTAGTCTCCAACTGTGAATCCGAAGCTATTATCTATAAAAGAGATTTACTAAGCAACATATTAAGGTGTTTTTTTCATCACAATGTTTTTTTTTTGTTTTTTGTTTTTCTTTACCTGCAGTGAGAAGGTGAGGGCCAGGTCAGTCTCCACTGACCCACTGGGTGGCAGTACAATCTCATGGGACCTCAAAATACGTTTGGAGCCCTGTGGAAAAAAAACATATCTGGTGTTCGATTTAGCGTGCCTAATGCTTCTGGAGGCTGTCTATGTTTGTGCATCAGAGGTCCGCGGTCTGAATAATTCAACAGGATCAAATATACCTTTTTACATATTCTACTAGAGCTGTTGGATGGTACAGAACATTTACCATGCATGAGCATTGCACAGGAATATACCTTTCAGATCAGTTTTTTTAAGGTATTTCCCTATTTATTTTGGTACAAGGAAATGCATTAATTTATTCACACATGTATTTACAGCCACAGATATGCCTTCACATGTATGAAATGGGAAGATGTACTATGCTTAGTGAGATATGTGAGAGATGCAGGTTTGTAAAATGCCTCCATGTTTGAGCAGTTTGTAAAAGACAAACCTGGATTTTCACGGCGATGACCACAGAAATGAGCTCTTTATCAAGTTCCCTCATCACAACCAGCTTCTTAAGAGTGAGGCTGCACAATCTGAGGAAAGAAACAGAAAACAAGAAAAAGAATGTTTGGTTTCGCAAAGCATAAACAGGTGAGTCATGCACAGCAGGCCAGGCGGAATTTTTCAAATAGTTACGAATAGGTGGATTGTTTAGGAGGAAGTGAAACACAAACAGAAACACAGGAAATATCACTGGCATCTTCATGGAAAAGGCTGCCTGAATGGCGTCATCACTTGAAAAAGCCAAAACAAGACAAGAAAAGTTTTCCTGATGGTCACATGCTGGACATTTTAGTGGAAACTGCTAAATAGATGACTCGGGTGATATCAAAGTTTGCATGAAGACACTTTCATTTTTACACCGACGACAGAGTTTTGGAGTTTTATATTTTCATGATGTCGAAAACAAAAGAAAAAATAATTTCATCCGGCCACCTTATGATTAGTGTGTACCTATCCCAAATGGTAAATGGAATTCAAGCTACGGCTTTTCATTCACACGTTCACGGACACATTAACACATTGGTGGATCCCGGTAGGCCAGTGGGGTTCAGGGCCTTACCCAAGGACTCTCTGACATGTGTCCCGGAGGAACAAGGAGTCGAAACCTCTCGACTTTCCGATCATTATGCGACTGATTTTTCCTCCTGAACCACAGCCACCCCCCTACTGGAAGTTGTTCATGAAATTAGCTCTCTGTTTCCTATAATGAGTCACCTATCTGATGTTTGACAGTTTACGTTGGGTGAATGAGTGCATGAGCTGACACAACCATTGAGCAATATATGGTCTTTATTGTCTCAAATGTGTCTCCACACTTGAGGAAGTGTGTAAAAAAAATAAAGAAATAAAGAAATAAAAAAACTTTGCAAGTTTAGTCAGATTTTAGTCAGATTAGTTTCCACTTCATATCATGGCCTGCCGGGGTATAGCAACCACAGAGACAAAGACAAAGTGGGCTGCAGCAATTAGGAGTTTGGCAGAGAAAAAGGTAGAAAAACCTTGGACGCATGCAAGAAATGCTGGCGATGCTCCATGTTAAGCCCAGCCTTTAGGGGAAGAGATCCATGTTCAGAAGGTTATAATCCACAGTGAGACAGAGTTTTAGCAGTTTCCTACATTGTTTTCATTTCAGAAAAGGAGGGCTTTTAAATCTGCAGCGTTTGTATTATGTTTCTGTGCTCACTCACTGGTAAAAGACTTTTACACCGGCTTAAAATATCACACATTATGGGAATTTTAGTCCACAGCCAGCGAGTCACATTCCCGTTGCCACAACATCCCCTCACATTTCTTAGAAAACAAGAAAAAGAGAATGTTCCCTGCAGTTAGACCCACAAGGTGACTTTAAAACTCACCAGAGACCACACGACTTTTCAACATTTCTACACTTGTTAGTCTAAATTAGTCCGAACCCAAAGTGTTTCTGTAGAGTGGCAACTCACAAGCAGGACGGTGGCAGCCAAGGCCGGTATTGTTAGGCAGTTTGTGTGTGTGTGTGTTAGTGTGTGTGTGTGTGTATGTGTGGAGGGGGGTGCTTTAACAAGCCTGTCACGATTTTTTTGTGACAACTCCACACATGAATGAGTTAGAAAAGTTTCTTTTGAAGGAGATTTTCTTTGGAGGCTCTTTAATTCCTTTGCTTAAATTATACAGAAGAGCGGCTTAGAAAAGGCTCAATCTGGAGGCCAGACATTTGTCATCAGGTTTGCCTTTTCACGGCGAAATTAAACTATTACCGCTGCTGCTGATTTGAGTGACATCATCGCTTGATTATTCTGGGGCCATTCAACCCAGGCCTTACAGAGTAAAAGACGGCCACAAGAGACGGAGAGGGAGGGAGAAAGGAGGCCGAGCCAAAGCTTGATACACCAATAACCGTATCCACTAAGGGCCGTGGGGTTGACCATGCAGGTAATCTAACCCCTCTGCAGTTCTCCTATTTTGAGAACAGGAAATGGATAGGTGAGGCAGCAAACAAAAGAGAACAGCACCAGGGTGAGTCGAGGCCCCTTTTCGAAACCACACGGTTGGCTGAGTGACATAATCACAGTGCTGGGAGCTCTGCGGCAGAGGGGTATCAATCAGTGGTGACAATGGCAGGTTTGAAGAAACCCCTGCGGGCAGAATGAAAATCTTTCTCTCCTCAGGCTGACACGATCCGTGGAAATCCCAGGCACGATGGACCAAAGCCAAAGAAGGCTCGCATTGTCTTCGGCCCGCTCGCCAACGGACAATACGCAGCATTCTTGTCCTCCTGTTCTGTATTCTACCCTGTTCCCGTTGGGCCCAAGCCCACAGCTCCGTCTATTTCAGCGATGCTAGGTGGCTGGAAGCTGGTTTTGCGTAGGAAAAGATAGCCAAATGATGTCAGCCACCCAGGCAGCTTTGTGGCACGAGTATCATTTGGCTGTGCTCTTCCATTAAACCAAACCTCAAGGAATTGATTTCCCCAAATAAAACAACACTGATAATGATGTGTAATGTCGACCATCTCATCGGTTAGGTGTAAACAAGTCAGACCTTTCAGTTTCAATAGTTTGAGTGTCAATAATGATCCCACGCAGAAGAAAAAAAATCATGGAATAATCACTCCTTCAAAGAAACTATGGCATTAAAATAGAATTATGCAATCAACACTCAATTTTAAAACAAATAATTGCGCAACTCTAAACATGCAAATGAGTCCACAGTGAAAAAGAGTGTTTGGAACATTAGAAGAAAAAATTATTATTTTGATTTTAATTCCCATTGAACTGTGGCTAGAGATGTTGGTTGTTCACGCTTATCCGAGACAAAAGTTTGGAACTTGCACAAGTAAAATGGTAAGCTGGGAAAGCAGAAACCTACAGGTTAACTTTATTTTAAATAAAAAAAAGAAAAAGAAACTTAGGTACGGTTGAAGAAAACAAAAATCTTGGTGTTTTAAGCTTTAATGCTCAGCAGTTCGACGTATAACCAAAAATCCTTGAAACCAAAAAGGTGGTAATTCTATTTAGCTTGATTAGGTCCAATCAGCTATGTTATATTTACTTCATTTTCTGGTGAACAGCAGTGATAATGAGCTAATTAGTCCAGGAACTGTTTAGAAATTAAACTGCCCTTAAGGACTCAGGGTAGACGCGTTAAATACACCGTCACAAAATGCAACAACTGAAATATCCAACATTCTATGGTGTACTTCAACATCATTTAAGACTTATTCAGTATCTTTTGACTCTGTTGGCGATTTCTAAGCCTGCCTATGAAGATAAAATGTGTGCTGTAAAGGCTGCAGTGCTGCTTGGGGTCGATACAATATCTGATATCCTAAATATAAATACTATATATATATGCAGCTTGATATTTGATATCACAAAGGAGGAAGATTCCTGCAAGAAAGAGGACAAAGAGGACCGACACATTTAATCTCCATCGACAAAAACTTGTCCGCCAAGACAAACTATTTGGTTTCCGTGCCAAGGCGTGATACCAGTGGGATTGCCCACTCCTACCGCTGCCACAGGCCACCTCCAGTGTGCACCGACACGCTTACACACAGCTGCTGTTCTGGCGCTGCAGCAGAGGAGGCTGCTTCCACAGGGTGCACACACACACACACACACACCACGGTCAGTGACCCAGCCAAACACTGATCCGGTAGCCAGCTCCGCACAGATGTTCTGATGTTCTGGCTAGGATCCGGTGGGTGGTTGGGGGACCAGCAGATCCACAATCCCTCCGTCTGCTGGGAGCAACAAGCGGGCTGGATTTTCTTTTGGCGTTCCTGATGCCGAGGTGTGAAGAGGCGGCTGTGGAAACACAAATGTGCCGCCGACTGCTGCCAAAGCCCATCAAAGCAACACGCACGCTGCCACAACATGTGAAAACGCGGCTAAATGGCATTACTGGCCTGTTGTCGCTTCCACGGTTGCTCGGTGCCTACCATGCTGTTAGTATTCTCACAAAAACAATCTATGTGTGGGCAGCTTCAGCCGGGGCACCTCTCAGCTTCTGTGTACACTTCTGCTCGTATAAATCAACTTGAACTAATAACGCTGCAAGAGGGAAAAGTGCGACTGGTCAAACCTGATTACTGAATAGGCATCCGCAGAAAATATCTGTGTGATATTTGAGCTACTGTGAAGAACCAGGTTATACGAGCGGTGACATTGGAACTCTCAGATCCAACGCTTAGCATCAGCGGCCTTTGGTTTCTTTTGAGGGGAGAGAAAATTAAAAAAAGGGATGAAATGTATATAAATAAATATTCCCATTCTGGAACTTTCCTTTTTCTACTTTAGGTGAACTAAAAAGCAACAATTGTAGTATCTAAGGCATACAATCAGCCTTTTCTGCTCATGTGTCTGAAACACCAAGCAGACAATGAGTCATTTGTAACTGAGTGTCTTACAATTTAAGTGTGTAATGAGCTTCTAACATTCTAGAAGAAAGTGACAGTAGATTAACAAAACCCACTTTCCTAGTAAAGACAGATATATTCTAAATGGTTTGTACATCTCCTTTGATCAAATATAATGAGTTTACACAACCAAACAAGTCCCTATATTTAAACACAGACACTCTATAAACAAGTTAGAGCCATTTCAAATGATGAATGTGCCGCAAACCAATGCTGAGGGAGGACTGATATAATCTGATATAGGGGCTTCCAAAAGAAGCAGCCATCTGTTACAAGTTACAAGGAGCTCAAAGGTGTTGATCAGGTAGAGGAAGCGGTCAGCTGCACGTCTGAGTTCCAGTTACAAGCAGTGGATTTGCTCCTTTTGTTGATGGTGAGAAGCGAGCGTCTGGATTCTGGAAGCAGATCTGACGGCGGCGGCGTCTGTAATGAAATCAGCAAAGCCCGCGATGCCACGGGCAGCTCTTCTCACTCATGGAGGCACTCAAAATAGATGTTAGGCGATGATGTAGAACAATGAGGTAATGGTGTATCCGATAGCGTGAATGCATCCGTCTTCAGGGCGCCGGGCAGTGGAGAGCACAGATTGAAGTGAGGCCCATTTGTGAAAGTGGAAAAAAAAGGAGTCAAACTTCAGAATCACTAGCATAAAG